AATCTCTTTGCTGGTGTAGAGGAATCCAACTGATTTTTGGATGTTGATCTTATATCCTGCGACGTTGCTAAATCCCTCAATTAGTTCCAGTAGTTGCCTGTTCACATTTTAATGGCTTGGTAAAGAAGGTAACCTTGAGGGGTGAGTTGGCTCTCCGTGGCCACAGCAGTCAATTTACAAGGTTTGGTGAGTATCTGCGATGTTCTGGAAACTTCTTGGTGTAAGTAGTCAAGCGTGGGTGGCTTGTGTCTTCAGGAGCGGAGCTGAAGCAAGAGACTGCGTGTTGTCTGGTCCTTAGTGTGCACCTACTGTTGGTTACATTTATTGCTTTGAGACCTTTTACTGGAGGAGCACCCCCATTCTGTCTGCTCCCTTCTGCCTTCCTTTTTCTTCAATACTATGTCTTTAAGATGTAGGGGAAAAAAGAAACTATTGCATTGCAGCTTTTAACGGAGACCTCTGGAGAGGGTGGCAACCGCAGTGGCAGAATGTCACCCTGGCCCACTGCGCAGCAGCAGGAGCTCAAGGCCCGGGTGGCCCGCAGACGCCTGTCCCAGGCCAAGCACCGGACCAGCCTAGCAAGGCTCTTCAACCACATCAGGAAGACTGTTTATGTCCACTCTGACTTCAGAGCCTCAAAGGTATGGGGACTGGAGTGTGGGAGGAGAGGGTCCACTCTGAAGGGACTGTGGAGCCAGGTGGGAGACTGGCCTGCACTGACGTCCCTTAGCCACCCCTACCCTAGAGGCTGTATGTCTGCGGCTGTACTGTGTGAGTGTGAGAGCAGGGGCCTCACCCATCTGGGGCAGACAGGCCGGGCGTCAGGGGGCAAGTCACAAGCCTGAGGAGAGGCCTGGCTATCCAACAACAACGGTGCCTACCACTCCGCTCACATGGGCCACGGGTGGCAGAGAGCCTCCAGCAGCTCTAGGACCCCAAACACTTCCGCCCTAAACACAGAACACATCACAGACACATACACGATACCACACAAACACCACACCACAGATACCACACACACTACACACCACAAACACCACACATACCATACACACCACAAACCACACACACACAGCACACACACACCACACACACACCACATCACAGACACGCACATCATACCACTCAAACACCACACCACAGGTACCACACACACTACACACCACAAACACCACACATACCATACATACCACAAACCACACACACACAGCACACACACACCACATCACAGACATGCACATCATACCACACAAACACCACACCACAGGTACCACACACACTACACACCACAAACACCACACATACCATACACACCACAACCCACACACACACACCACACACACACCACATCACAGACACGCACATCATACCACACGTACTAAACACCACACCACAGATACCATACATACCACACACCCCAAACACAACAGCACATAACCTCACATACCACAAACCACACACACACACCACACACACCACATTAGATACACATATCATACCACACATACCAAACACCACATCACACATACCATATACACCACACACCACATCACAGACACACAAATCATACCACACATACCACACAAACACCACACCACCTCTACCACACACACACACACACACACAAATACCACACCACACATACCATACACACCACACACCACACACACACCACATCACAGACACACATGCCATACCACATATACCATACACACCACACACACATCATAGACACACACATCATACCACACATACCACACAAACACCACACCACATATACCCCCCCACAAATAAACACCATACCATACTCAGCACACCCACTCCATACCCCACACATACCACATACCACAAACACACAACACACCACACATACAACACACGACACACACACACACAAACACCATACCACACATACCATACACATATACCACACACACACCACACACCACACACACACTACACCACACACAAACACTACACCACACACATACACACCACACCACATGTACCATAAACACACACATCACTACCACACACACACTGTATACACCACACCACACACATATGCCATACCACACATATGATACCCACACGCATCCCACACACCACAAACACATCCATCACACTACACATACACACATGCACCACCCTCATGCATTACACACCACATAAACATACCACATGCCCACCACACACAACACCCACTCACATACACATGCACCACACACACAGGCTCCCACACACAGGAATGCGCATGCACACACCCCCCTCAGTGTTTGCTCCTCACTGGGCAGTAACGGAGGTAAGCATCCCTCTTTCTCTGGTCTTAACTCTACTTTTCTTCTCAGGCAGCATTTTATTGTGAGTCAGAGCCTCTGCCACAGCAGTGAGGAAGGTCTGGGTGGTTTCGAGTGGTGGGAGTGGGTGGTGCAAACAGGTCCCTGCTCAGCTGTTTGAAAAGTTGGTGGTTCGAACCTACCCCAACACACCTCCAAAGCCAGGCCTGGCACTCTGCTTCCACGAGGTCCCAGCCTTCTGCTCTGCACACATGGGTCGCCATGACTCAGAGCCGCTCAACAGCAGCCAACAACAGCAGCGGTGGGAGTGGACTTCATATTGCTGGCAGACACCTCCCAGGAGGCCAGAGTGGGCAGACCCACAGTCACTGCCACTGGCCAGTGGGGGGGTGTGCAGGCGGCAGCCCAGCTGAAGAACAGGCGTCAGGGCCTCACAGGAAGAAGTGGAGTAAACCCAGAGGAACGGCACTTGCCCCCGCACAATGTGCACCTCATGAGGAAGTGGTGCATTTTGGGTGCACGTCCCTTGGGCCTAACAGGGACCTGGGTGCCGTATGCCAGCATCCATTCCCGGGTGAGCAGAAATCTTCCGAAAGTGATGCAGATACGGAGTTAAGGTTACAAATCAGAGAAATTAAGGGGGTGGGGTGGAGACAGCCTCGGTCATCTAGGTGGACGCGCCCTGATTGAAAGTCTTGAAGAAGTGCTTAGGGAGAACAGAGATGTAGAGTGAATAATACAGAGTGTTGTTGTCGTCAGGCGCTGTCGAGTCCACTCCGACTCATAGCAACCCTATTCGTAACAGAACGAAACACTGCAGTAATAGTTTGCTGGGAGGTGCTTCGTGCTTCCACATACTTCGGTGAGATCCATGTACAGAATGCACACTAAACGTCGTCCCTCCCATGCTTCTGAATCCCCTTCTTAACCTTTCTTCTGACTTCCTGGACATGACTGTGTCTGAGGACCGGGCCTTAGGACGGGGGAGGGGCTGCAGGAACGGCCTGTGCCGTGAAAGGCCAACTTCAGTGTCTGTCTCTGTCCTCAGTGGCAGGTTTTGAATAAGGCGAAGAGTCATATTCAGTATCTGGAGCAAACCTTGGATAATTTGCTGAAGCTGAAAGGTAATAATAGGTCACAGCCCATCACCCTCCTCTGTTTCCCGGGAGAGAACTGCTTCCATTTTCCTATTGAAACCAGAGAGAGAGATGGGGTGGAACCAAGTCAACAAGTATTTATTGAGTGCCTACTGTGTCCTTGGATGGCACAAGTGGTTTCCGCTCGATTTCTAACCAGAAGTTGGTTGTCGGAGCCCACGGGAGAAAGCCCTGGTGACCTGGTTCTGTAGAGATTACATCTAAGAAAACCCTACGGAGCAGTCACTCTGCACACGTGGGGTCACCGTGAGTCATTACTGGCTTGATGGCCACTGGAGGCCACTGGAGTTTTCAAGCTATTGGATGACAAACTCGGCAAGAGATACTCCCAGTAGCCTCACTTCTGAGTTTTTTCTATTCTGGGAGCCCTTCCCTCTGGGCTAGTGTCCCCTCACTCCTACTCCTACAAGGAAGGGTGGAAACCAGGCCCCTGGCTTCCTACCACTAAGCCTGGGTGGCTCCTACCTGGGCGCCCCCTGAGCCAGCGAGGCAGGTGAAAATTCAACAAAACCTGACTTGTCCTCTCACCTTCAACTCCCCATCTTCAACTCCAGGTTTCTTCAACGTGCAGGATGGCAATGCAGGAAGCTTAGAAGAGGTCAGGGAAGCGTATGCCAGAATGTACTCCAGGAATCACAGGTAAGTCCCAGCCAGCACCAGGAGCCGGGGACACGTGGCTCTTCTCACCCCTCATCACGGATGCTGTCCGGTAGCCTGGCCACGTGGAAGGGCCGTCGCGGCTCTCACTCTCCTACTGCTTGTGTGTGTGGGAATACTTAGCAAGGTTTTCCTCCCTCGGAGACCGTTAGAAAGAATGCGTGTTTTTCTTGGAACACCTTGGTTTTTTACTCTGCAGGGTATCTTCAGGATTATTCCTTATCAGCATGAAGAAATTCTGTCTGTAGGCCACCTTGTCTTATTGCACTTCACGTTATCACACATTGCAGACAGTGTGTTTTTTGCAAATTGAAGGTTTATGGTAACCCTGCCTTGAACAAGCCTGTGGGCATCGTATTTCCAACAGCGTGTGCTCACTTGGGGCCTCTGTCTCATTTTGATAATTCTCACAATATTTCAAACTTTTCATAATAACATTGTATGCTTAACAGGCTACAGCACACTGTAAGCATAACTTTTATATGCACTGGGAGACTGAAATGTCCATTGATTGGCTTCATTGCGATAGTGGCTTTGTTGCAATGGTCAGGCACCAAACCCACAATGTCTCCAAGGTATATCTGTACAAGTCTTGTTTCAGAGTCATGATTTTCACGTGTTTTCCAAATTGTGTCATGTCATGTCATTCTCAAAAGGGTGTGGTTTGAAGAGCTAGTGTTTTACCTTTTCTAAGAAGGTGATTTATTGTGTTCTCGGTGAAGGTGCACACAACAGTTTAGGTTCCCATTTGACAATTGCTACACAAGTTGTTCAGGGACATCGGTCACATTCTGCACACTATGTGGACATTCTCCGAATTTCTGTTCTGGAAATTAATCTTATTTCCCTGCCCCAGAAGTTTTACCTTTTGATGAAGTCCAATTTATCAAGTTTTTCTCTAAGGTTTGCATTTTTGGTTTAAACCTACGTATTTAAACCTAAGTGTTGCATGGTTTTTTGGTTTTGTTTGTTTTGTTGGTGCTATTGTCAAGGATAGGTGCTCTGGTGGCATATGCCTAAGGCATTCGACTGCTAACCAAAAGGCTCGCAGTTCAAAT